AAATCTAAAAAATAACGACAGTTAAAAAAAAAAGGCATTTACATTTAATGTAAAAAAGGAAAGGAAGGGGGCTTAAACAAAAAAAAATAAAAAAAAAAAAAAAAAAAAAAGGACGATAAATTAATTGAAAATAAGATATACCTTATTGGAATTCCATGAATGGAACCCTTAGCAAAAGATTTGTAACCCTTATTTATTACTAGAAACGGCAACTTTATGCCAAGATAGTATGCAATCAATCCAATCATGTGCATCACATGGCCGACAGCGGTATTAATTCTTATTATTTCATCTTCTTTATCTTCTTTCCTCATTCTATCATTCACAAGGTATCCTATTTGATCCATATTATTTGTTTATTATGAAATGAAAATTTTGAATAAAATTAAAAGGATAACGTGCTAATTCTTACTTATGTAATTAGCTTTTTTTGGTAAGGTTATACCAGCAATTGCATGTTCACAATCATCGTCACCAATACCATTTGCTACTATACGGCCATTCTCTGACATGGCATCATTCTCTCTAGTTCTAATATTATGATTTTCCTGACTTGATATCCTTTTTAAGTCAAACAATGAAACAATTTCACCGATCAAGACTTTTCTTGAATGCGCAAGTATTTTATGTACTTGTCGCCACCTTTCTTTTGTATTATCAATGTCCTTCGTAATTAAAGCTTGTTGATGAGATTTAAACTTTTTAAAATAGGCGAGAGAATCTTGTAAAACTTGACGTCGCGTTTGAAGATTTCGTTTTAATTTATCGATTTCCTGACGATCTTAAAATTACCGCGAAATTTTAATTATATTATAATATAATAGAACACATTTTTTTATATGAATTAAATAAAAAGAGTTGAGAAAAAAAAAGAGTTGAGAAAAAAGAGTTGAGAAAAAAAGAGTTGAGAAAAAGAGTTGAGAAAAAAAGAGTTGAGAAAAAAAGAGTTGAGAAAAAGAGTTGAGAAAAGGTAAGAGAAATAATTTAAATAATTTAAATATAATATTTACCTCGTGCGATTTCTTCTCTTATTTTAGTTATTTCGAGCTCTAAAATGTTCACTTTTTGAAATCTTGTATGTTTTTCTGCCAAGTTTACTTGTATATTTTTCATCGTCCCTGATAGAAATTCATTTGCCTGATCAACATGTTTTTGTTTATCGTGAGTGATCTGGTTCGTTTCAACTTTATATGAATTTAGCCTTAAGAGAAAATTGTTAAAACTAAAAAGTAGTGTTATAAAAAATGTCATGTATTCGATAAAAATTCTTACTTTTCTCGAATACAGCTCGCACACCAAAATTTGCGATGAAAATTGTGACAAATTTTACATTCCATCCTTTAGGAAATAAATGCAGAAATTGTTTTAGCCCAGAAAGATATTTTTCTCAGGAATTTATAAAAATTACGTAATTCATTGTGTTATTAAAATTTAAGGCCAATCATAACGTGAGAAATTAAAACCTTCTAATTGCTTCCAAAGTTGACAAATACATACAGTATTCGAATTTAAATTAATTTGAAGTGACACAGATTTATCATTAGTAGTTGTTTCGCAGTTAAAATACCGTTCACACAAATGCATGGATAGGTTGGGTTTGTTCAAACTGTAAATAAAGATTAGATTATCATTTTCTACATCTTAAGAAACAAGTTTTAATGCATTTATGGCAAAAAAAAGAAACATTCTCAACCTCATCGTGGATTATGTACTTTGCTAAATTAGATTTATTTATTTATTTTTTTCTTTTTGAATCGTTTTTGATGCATTACCGATAGAATGAAAATATATTATTTGTGTATTGTTCCTACAGAGTTTAGAAAAAGAATGCATCAAAAACGGTAATATCTTTGCTTCTTTCGGTTTAATTTCATTATTAAAATTATAAATTATTCACAATCGTAGTTAAGCTTTGCATTTTCGTCACATGTAATAATTAGTTAATTAGTTTGATGTTATTGTACGTAGCAACGATAAATTCATTAACGTTAAGACACTTGATTTTCATTAATCTTGTCTCCTGAGGGTCTACTGATTTTAGAGATGTTTTTAGCAAAATGCTCTTAAATGTTTTCCACGATAATGTTAATTAATGCCAATTAATGCCAATTAATGCCAATTAGTGCCAATATTGTGCAGAAAATCCGACTTTTTATTTACAAAGGGGAGCGCAAAATGATAACATCTATAATAATTTGTACATCTCGTTGCACGTGATAAATAAATATCACGCGTCATTATAAAAGGGTAATGTAAGATTTTTTTCTATATCGCAAAAATGGTTGGTTTGAGGTTCTTCACTACTTCAGTTAGATCCTTACTTCTGCTGGCTTACAAACTTTAAAATTTACAATAGTCGGGGAGAGTAATAGCGCAGATTATTCTTGTAGGCACCCAAATCGTAGGAAAAGCTTTTATTGATGCCTTCAAACAAGCTTCTGCAAGTTCGTTTTTTTTTCCAAAAAGTGATATAAGTAATTGTACAATAATATATTTATTAATATTTGTAATTAGATGCCGGAAGAAATGGAGGTTCGAGCTTTAGGGGAGTTGACGCTCTGACGAGACAGACGGGGATGACATTGGAAGAAGCTTGTCAGATCTTAAATCTTAAGAAAGATACTTTAGATCCTGCGCAAGTTACAAAGGTACTTATAAACAATTTGTACCTATATGTCTTTGTTAGTGTAAACATACTTAACATTCTCTAAAAATTTCAAGAATTACGATCATTTATTCAAATCAAACGATACTTCTGTCGGAGGATCTTTTTATATACAGTCAAAAGTTGTTCGAGCTAAGGAACGTATCGAATTGGAATTATCTAGTAATAATTCTAGTAATGAATCAGCCCGTTCTGATTAGAGTTTAGAACTGGGTTATAATAAACCGGGTCACCGTGTCAAAACGGTTCAACCAGGTCAAAAATTTACAACTCGGGTCAAGACGGTTGAATATGTAACCTCTAACAATCCGTTACTAATACACAGAAAACATACCAAAATTTAACACATTATAATTGTATTGTATTGTGAATAAACACCCTTTTCTCTTACTAATTTATCTAAATGTTCAATCCCGTTAATCTGGATTTAAAAAAAAAACGTTACAAACTTTGGACTATCTATTGTTGTGAAAATTTTGTTAAAAATTTTCCTTTGTATAAACCTTCATTATTATTTTCTTTGCTAATATGTAATACTCTTTGTTC